GTGGAAAAAGTCTCTCAGTCCCTTTCTCGTAGTTGATGCAAAATTTCGTACTGGCTCACACTTCCTGGTAGTGTCGGTGGCCTGTGATGTGTTTGATGTAGATGTCTCTGGACCATCGGATGGCGTCCGAGACCATGAGGCGCCGCATGAGCTGTGCATAGTGTTGACTGATCCCACAGGTTCGCAGCACACTCTTGTTGCAGGGGTTGCAAGCGGCTGGGGCTCCGACAATCAGGGCATCCATCTGCACCTCGTAGCCCTTCGCTCTCAGGGTGTCGGCCAGGGGGGCGTATTTTTCAAGCTTACGAACTCGGGCTTTGCGGAAGGCCGGGGTCCTGTTCTCAAAGGAGACTGTGACGTCAACGAGGATGATCTTTTTCTGGGCCTCATCAGTGACTAGCACATCAGGTCGCAACTGGCTGTCAGTACCGGGGATGGCGCAGTTCACGGCAACCTCCCTCAGACGCGGTGCAATGGCTTTCACCAGGCGGTTCTGGATGGCACTGTGGCGCAGCTGGCAGGCTCTGGAGTGGGGCTTGCAGCTGCACAGGACATGGGGCAGGGTCTCGTTGGAGTAGCCGCACTTCCTGCAACACTTGTCTCAGTTCCCGTGGCAGATGGCTCCATTGAGCAGGACACAGTTGAGCCAGGCACGGTGGATGAACTGCCAGTCGGCGAAACGGGTGAAGCCGCCCCCCGCGAGGAAGTGGTTGCTGGCGTCCCACTTCCTGGTCAGTTCGAAGGCTTTACCCTGGTCCGGTTTACGCTTCAGAGTTTCCATGTGCAGTGAGTGGATGGCTGCCTTCAGGGTCCTCTCCAGCACGCCCCTAGCACACGGGGTGACGATGGTGTTGTCATCAGGCCTGATCTGCGGCACCAGGACTCCCAGCTCCTGGTGCTCCTCGCACCACTCCCAGCGGCAGCCAATGTGCTTCCCCAGGTGATACGTGGCATTGCGAGCGTGGGACCACAGTGAAGCGATGTCACGCCCGTCCCATCTGAATTCACCATCCAGGGAACTGCTCAGGAAGGTGGTGATGTCTTGGTTGGAGGGGGCTCTGCTGATCCGCTTCTTTGTTGTGTCATGGAGGGCGTTTGCTGCGATGTTCCTTACCCTGGCGTCGGGACACGTCAGCAGGCAGAAGGCGTGGGTGATCACCGCCATGTCACACAGTTCGCCCATGCGGGGGACGTTGGCACCGCCATGCCTGTGGGCAATGTAGACCAGCTCGTTGCTGGCTCTCTGGAGACGGAACAGCCACTTCTTCACCAGCTGCCGGATGATCTTCTCTGCCTTGTTGAGGGGTACCTTCGCCACAGTGGATCCCCTTAGGACGAACGAGATGCAGGGGATCAGGAAGGTGTTCAGGGCATTTATCTTCTGCCACAGCGCTAGTAGGGAAGCGTCAATCTTGGCGGCATCCTGCAAGGTCTGCTGGACACGGAAACCCAGCAGCGTGCCGAGGTGCTGGTATGCCTGCCCTTCTGCCAGGGGGATGACGGGCTCGCCCTGGATCTGGAACCCCGTTGTCTGCACCAATGTGCAGTCATCAACGTGGAGAGTTGTGCACTTCTTTGCATTGAAGCGGAGCCCCATCCAGTCAGCAGCTCAACTGGTGACATCTAGCATACGTTGGAGGCTCTCTGGATCATCCGCGGTCAGGTCCAGGTCATCCGCGTAAGCCAGGACTCTCACTCTCTCACCGTGGAGGTTGAAGCCATCTGTGCCATTGGAGATCGCTTGCAGCAATGGCTCCATGGTGAGGTTAAAGATGATGGGGCTGAGGGGACAGCCCTGCTTAACTCCGCTCAGGCTCGGGATCTCAGCGGTCTCCCCTTCGACCAAGCGAATGGTGGTGCTGCATCCCTCATACACCTCTCGGATCACATGAAGGAAGTTTTCTGGCATCCCAAACTCCTGGAGCGTGGCAAAGATGTGGTGGTGGGGCATGGATCCAAAGGCGTTAGCCAGGTCGAGCCACGCTACTGTGTACTGCCTCCATACTCTTCTGGCCGTTTCAATGGTGGTTTGGAGGACGAAGTTGTGTTCATAGCAGCCCTCGCAGGACATGAAGCCTTTCTGGATGGAGCTGATGGCTCCCCCGCTCACCGACCACTCCATGATCCTCGAAGCCAGGTAGCTAGCGTAGAGCTTGTACATCGTGGAGCAGAGGGAGATGGGCCTCCAGTTGCTGGGGTCATCCCACTCGCCCTTCTTGTACACCAGTACCATCATGGCCTTCTTCCAGGAGCTGGGAGTCCGACAGAATTGCTTGCACTGGTTGAAGAGCGTGGCGAGGACCAGGCAGCCGGGATCTCGCTTTTTCAGGAGGATGTAGGGGATGCAGTCTTTCCCAGGAGCTGTGTTTTTTGTTTTTGAGAGTCTGGCCATCACTTCCTTGGGCATATAGTCAATTTCCAGGACACCTGCTTCGTCAACACAGGGCAGGGGGCGGAGGCACTCTGAGCGCTGCGCGTCATTCTGGGCTATGCGGTCGAATACATCCTTGAAGTAGCTGTAGAGATGCTCAGATGGGATCATGCAGTAGGGCGAGGGCCCGTCTAGGATATCCCTCATGGCCTTGAGCAGTTTGCCCGGTACAGCTTTTGGATCCCTGAAGCCGTTGCTGGATCGTAGTGGCGGCTGGCGTCTCTACTTCTGGCTCCCCTGGTGGTGGTGGTGTCGTTTGGAGCAGCTTTCTGTGGGCAGGCGGGGCATTTTCCTGGTTCGAACTTCTCCTGGGAGCGATTTTTGAAGACAGTTCTTGGGTGAGCCTGTCTACAAGTTTCAGAGTAACAGCCGTGTTAGTCTGTATTCGCAAAAAGAAAAGGAGTACTTGTGGCACCTTAGAGACTAACCAATTTATTTGAGCATGAGCTTTCGTGAGCTACAGCTCACTTCATCGGATGCATACCGTGGAAACTGCAGCAGACTTTATATATACACAGAGAATATGAAACAATACCTCCTCCCACCCCACTGTCCTGCTGGTAATAGCTTATCTAAAGTGATCATCAGGTGGGCCATTTCCAGTGAGGCAGCAAACCCAAATGATGCAGACCCTGATTGACCTACATGTCCAAAAATCCTGGCCTCTCCACTTTTTGCAGTCCTTGGAGAACTCCACAGTAGCAACTCCCTACACCCCCCCTTCCCACATTCCATGTGGCATCATAGGCCACCTCCTTACCCCCACCATTCCATACGGGGGGGACAGCAAAGAAAACCACAGCTTCACAATTATGTGAGAGCCACAGCTAGTGTATGCATCACCACAATGGACTACATTTGTGCAATGAAATGGAAAGAAATTATTGCTGCCTTTCCAATTTCAAAGCCCCATTTCCAGGCCCAAAGGACAGTCCATCACAGAACACCACTGTGGCTGACTGTTAGAGTGTGGTTTCAAATCCTCCTTCAGGGGCATAGCTGTACATTGGGCTCTTGTAATAGCCCATGTCTGGCTGTTCAAAGTCAGCAGACAGCTTCTCCACCTCCTCCCAGTCAGCAGCTTTTCCCCCTTTGCCTGACAGATGTTATGCAGGACACATCAGGCAGTTACAACCATTGGGATATTTTTCTCCACTGAGATCCAATCTACTGAGTAAGCAGTGCCAGCATTCCTTCAATCTACCAAAATCACATTCAACAGTCATTCTACACCTGAGTCAGTCATTGTATCTTTCCTTGATGCTATTGAGGCTTGGGGCTCATGTATAGCTTCATCAGCAAAGGGTAGATTGGGTCCCTCAAATCACTATTGGAGTTTCAGTATCCCCAAAGGTAATCTGCTGATCCGGAAACAACGTGCCTGTTTGCAACTTTCTCAACAGTCCTGTATTCTTGAAGATGTGAGCATCATTCACCTTCCTGGACCAGCCCACATCAATATCAGTGAAGGGTCCCCAGTGATCCATCAACACTTGGATAACTATAGAAAAGTAGCCCTTTCTGTTGAAGAACTCTATATCAAGGTGGGCTGGTGCCAAAAAAGCAATGTGCATGCCATCTATTGCCCTCAGTCCAGTTCAGGAACTTCACTGCTATAAATCCATCCACTATGTCCTGAATATTGCAGATAATCACAGTCCTGCATACCAGCAGACAAATAATGGCCCTAAACGCTTGCATGATGACAGCCCCCACTGTGGATTTTCCAACTCTAAAATAATTTCCCACTGACTGGTAGCAATCCAGTATTGCAGGCTCCCAGAGCGGGATCACAATTAATTTCTCCACTGCCAGTACAACTCTCATTCTGGTGTCCCTGCGCTAGAGGGTTGAGGTGGCTTAGAACACAGATCCAGGAATGTGGCTTTTCACATCAGAAAATGCTGCAGCCATTGCTCATTGTCCCAAGCCTGCATTATGATATGATCCCACCTGTCAGTGCTCAGTTCATGGACCCAGAAGCAGTACTGCACTGTATGTAGCTGCTCCATGAACACCGTCAACAACCTTGAATTATTTTCTGAGATGTTCCTCTGCAAAATGTCCAAGAAGAAATTATCATGTCCCTCATGTTCTTGTGGTACTTCCTGGATGTCTGAGTGTGTCCTGTATTTGCAACATTCGTGAGAGCAGTGCAGAGCACCATGCTTCTGTCTGAGATGGTGGACACCAAAATGTACTGCACAGGTTTGTGGGATTTAAAAAAAAAAGGCACAAATTACGGGATGGAGTAAGTTGCATTCTGGGAACCTGACCCCTAGCTCCCAGAGATTCCTCGGCAATTCATTTCTGTCCCACAACACATTGCGAAAAGTTCCCAAAAGATATCGTGTTAAACAGCAGCGTGAGGCACACTGAGATACCTACCCGTGGTGCACTGTACTTTACATCAACACAATTACACCTAGAGAATATGCGCAGTGCTGACGCAAGCAGCCAGGTATGCATGCACATGAGCAATACACAAACTTTGGTGGCTATACAGCAATGTAACTTGCATCAACCAAAGTTTGTAGTATAGACATGGTCACATTATCCTTACGTTTACCTCCAGTTTGGCATCCAGCTCTGCATCAGATGCAACCACATGCTCGTCTTCTTTCTTTCCTGTAACTTTGATTAGGACTTGCTTTGTCTTCCAGTATTTCTTCTGCATTCTGCTGACTACAGACTGGTCTTCTGACCTATATTTTCCATTGGTATCCTTGGAGTGACTATGAGAAAAAGAATAGTAAACAGACCAAAGAATTGTTTCAACGATTTACTACGTATTCAACAAAGCAAGAAATTAATAAAGTATTGCCAATGCAAAACAATTTAGCCAATCAGTGCTGACATAGTACTTTCTGAATGCTCTTTGAAATCTATTTGTGCGTTATGTCTAGTTCGTATGAAAGCCCCATAGTCCATCATAATGATGTCTGAATTGGTACTTACATATTTTTAATCATTAGGACTATTTACTGCAGCGTAGCTTGAAAGTGATTAGTACAATTAGAGCTATATGGAAAGGAATTTTGATATTTCATTATTTGTTTTCATTCCAAACTGGGATAGGAACTCAAATTTTCACAAAACAAAAAGGTCTGAAAAATTACCATTTTGACAATGTTATTTTGCAAAAAACTATTTTAAGAATTTTATTTTTAAGAAATAGTTATTTTAATTTAAAAATATTATCAAAATATCAATTTGAAATAATACTCTTTACTTTTAAATAGATAGTTCAAAATGATTTTCCTTTTGGAGCTGACATTTCACTTTTCTCAAAAAAAAAAAAGTTTTGATTTCTGAAAGAAAGGAAAAAAATTGCAGAACTCAACTTTCCCAGAGGAAAGTTCAATTTTGACAAACCCATATTTTCCAATGGGAGAAAAAGGTTTATTTTTAAAAAAATGCAACCAGCTGTATGTACAATGTTGCAGGTATCTGTAAACTTCCAATTTTCTACCCCATACATAGCTACTTCACTTAATGCTCAAATAAATAAGTACTCCTTTTCTTTTCACAGGACATGGTGGTTCTGCTTATGGCCACTGACTAAACAAAGCTCAGAATTCCTAGCTACTTTAAAATGTGTTGAATATAGGCACTGTAAAAACTAAATGAGGGAACTTTTTGGCTCAACAGCTCAGATAACTGATTTTCATTCAATAGAAATTATATCAGTGTTTTGTCTTTATAGCTGTTTGGTATATTGAATGTTAGCATGCTTTCAAAGGTTTAAAGGTAATTTCCAACTGACTCAACAAAAAACACATCTGTTCATGAAATATATACTCAATGCCAGAGGCGTCGACTTTGTGATTTCCCCCAGGGATGCTGGACTCTCGCTCTGCTCCAGGCCCCACCCCCACTCCAACCCCTTCGCCCAAGCCCCCACCCTGCCTCTTCCCACCCCCGTTCCACTCACACCCCTCCTCTTCCTGCCCCATTCCACCCCTTCCCCTGCCTTCTTCCTGCCCCTGCTCTCCCCCTTCCCTCCAGAGCCTCCTGCACACCGCTGAACAGCTGATCGCAGTGGATGGGAGGCGCTGAGAGGAGTGGGGGAGGAGCTGATCTGAGGGGCTGCCAGTTCCATGGGTGCTCCATTCCCAGAGCATCTGCAGAGTCGGCACCTATCATGACTGCCCCAAATAACACAGTCAAAGGGACATAACTTGCCTCAAAATTTTTATCTTTCAGGTTCTCCAAAATCACACCAGTTCAGATCTCATGTGAAGACGTGACAAGTATTGGTTGACTTTCACTAGAGAGTCCATTGGAAGACATTTCACAGGTTTGCAATGTTTACATGTTTTAATTTTGTATAAAAATAATTTAATTGCCAAACTGATACAATACACACACAAAAAGAACAAAGCTAAATGAAATTTGTCATAGTTTATGATTTCTTCAGCATTCTTTAGCATAACTCACCTAATTGGGACAATCTGGTAGAGTCCAATTCATTCTGATTAAGCATCTGTCTCATTTAAACAAAGTTCATCTAACTTTACAATGTTGTAACTGCATACAGCTGCACCTCTCTTGTAATTCACAGGACAATTAAGGCTTGTCTTCACTGCTGAGTTAGAGAAGTTTGAATTATACCTTGACTGGTGCCCCAATTCAAGTCCCATCTGTACACAAAAACCCTTGAGTGTTGGGGTGCTTGTAACTGGAGTTGCCCGGCCTGTCGGGATACAGGCTACAACTGGAGTTAGTACAACTTGTCAGCTGCTAAAATGACCACTCTACAGCTCAAATGCTATTTCAGAGTGTGGCCACTCTCACTCGATGTAGGCTAATTTAAGAAAAGTTAACCTGATTAACTCTACAGTGAAGACATATCCTTAGACCAAAATAATCCTAGCTAGGCAACTGGATCAATTTGGATCATCCTTTTAAAACAACCTAACATTAATTCTGTTTTATCAGGGACAGGGGAAAGAAATCTGGCTGATTAATTTCTGTTCTTCAAAAGGGGGTGTGCATCAGCTAGGCACTGACTCTATAGGTGCTGCAGGGCTGGAGCACCCAGGGGGAAAAAATGGTGGGTGCTGAGCACCCACCAGCAGCACCCCAATCAGCTCTGCCTCCTCCTCCCAGCACCTCCCACCTGCCAGCGGCTCCGCCAATCAGTGCCTCCCCCTCACTTCCACCATGATCAGTTGTTCCGCGATGGCCAGGAGGCGTGAGGGCGGGGCATGCTCTGGGGAGGGGGTGGAGTGGGGGTCGGGAAGAGCCAGGGCTGGGATAGGGCTTTGGGGAAAGGGTGGAGTGGGGGCAGGGCCTGGGGCAGAGCAGGGGTCGAGCTCCCCCAGCACATTAGAAAGTTGGTGCCTCTGGTCCATCATTAATGTCCATTCTCCACAGCAACACAGAAGTAGTTGTACAGACGTGGAATGGGGGTAGTGTAACGGAAGAGCCACCCACTCTAGAGGCCATCACAATTATATATTCCAAGGCTGTAATAACTAACTACATATTTTATATAAACTCTAGATAGTATTTTTTTTGTCAAGGCTTAAGTGAAATGGCATAGTAAATCATGAGAGAAACTATACTATAGATCCCTCAGCTCCTGTATTGTGAAAAAAATATCAGATTTGCAGGCAAGTCCTTTCAAAGAACAGAAATGAAATAGTGAGCACCAAATTTTCATTCTTTGTCAGACACATCCACCTCTTGACTTGTTTAAATATTTATGTGACATAGCCCCTATTATCTTAAACCATATCTAGAACATGCCAGGATAGATAGGGAACACTAGCAAGAGTGGGACTGAAAAAACAAAAACAAAGCTATAATAGGATTATTAAACTTGCATAGAATAGTCCCAGATATCTTACAACTATTTAGATATGTGGACAGTTGATTGTACTGTTTGGAACTGGTAACAACACCAAATGCTAAACATGTCTATATAATAAAGAAGATATTGTAATTTTTAATGAAGAAATTAAAGCCCGTGGACATGCACATATGTTAGGTGGCTCTAGAGGATCAGGGCTAACCATCTGTCATTGCCATATCATTTTTCAGTATATTTATCTTAAATAAAGACGAGAGAGTCTAAACAGCTTCACAACTTTAAGATCCTGTCAGATATTGTATTAGAAGAAGCCGTTATTTGAAACCTGCAATTCGAGAAGCCTTGTAAAATGATGCCAGGCACAACATCTCCAATTGATACACGCAAGCTTGATTTAGAAACTAGATCAGATGTGCTTTGCATTGCAGATTAGCACTACTGGATACTATGGCTCTTGAGGCCTGATCCTGCAGGTTATTAGATGTGACTGATTTGGAACTGCTCTGTAATTTATGAATACTGCATGTTGACCTGGTTATTGGGATGTTTAATGTATGAGTATATTGATTTAGTTTTAATAGCATGTGAAAAACAGAGAGGATAGGAAAGAATGGCTCAAAATAAGTCACTTCTCAGCACACATTTGAGAGTCAAGCGACAATGCCCAGAAAGGAAAAGCTTGGGAACACAGGAGATCAAAAGAGATGTGGCAAGTTTACCTAGGACTGCCCTTTCAAAAGAAGGGGGAAAGAGAGTTGTTTCGGGGACCACACTAAGACACAAGGACCTACTGAGTGTGTTGGAAGAAGTTAAGTCTGCCTAGTTTACCATTAGGTGACAATAAGACTTTAGATAAGACAGAAATGTGTAGACTGTTTTAAATTTCTTTCCTTAAAGGCATTTTTTCTACTGTTAAAATACATAATATGTATGTTTTGACAGTTTTATTACAGTATGCCATTGATCAGAGACTCCCAAAGAGGAGAACTGCAGGTGTTTGAACTCAGTTGGTCCTGCAGAGTAAGAACAGTTGATACATAGGGTATTGTAGCCAATAACTTGGTCTATTTATGAGAGATTTGTAGAATTCCATCCCAGGGTTGACCAAATTCTTGTGGGCATACACTTCGAGAGACCAGAAAGGGGACAGAGGTGCCCAGTAACCATGATACTGAGCATCTCCCTGTTTCTCAAACGATGTTCATAAAGACCTAACTAGGGCTATTTCTACCAAAAAGTAACTGTCACTTTTATTAAAGGCCCTATCCTGCAAACTACTCTGTGCAGTTTCCTATCCGCTTCAGCAAGACTCCACATGGGCATAGGGGTCCATCTGCACAGATCAGCTTGCAGGATTAATGTTTGAAGCCCCAATCCTGCAAACAGTTATGTATATGTTTAACACTGCACAACTTTCATTGGGACCATTCATGTGTTTGCATGTTTGCATGACTGGGATGTAACTATGTAAACAGCGTATGCAGCCATATAGAATAGATGAATTCCTATGAAGCAAACATGAAAAAAAAAAACCTCCTTCAGGAACATAAATGCAGAATGGTAAAATCAGGGGTGAAAGTAAGACGGTACGGGCCGGTACGGCATACTGGTAAAAAGTAGCCGCCAATACCAGCCCGTACCGCTGACTTTAAAGTGCTGCCGGGTCGTCAATGGGGGGCGCAAAAGGGGCAGTGACATTAAAGCACTGCTGCGGCAGCACTTTAAGCAGGGTCCTTAAAGCGCTGCCATGGCAGCGCTTTGTTGTTGTTTCCCCTTTTGTGCCCCCCCCGGCCGCCAACGGGGGAGTGGCAAAAGAAATAGCTGCCCCCGGGCCGCAATTTAAAAGGCCCGGAGTTCCGGCCACTGCTGCTCCTTTAAATCACCGCTGGAGTCCCCGGTGACGTGGGCCAGGCAGTGCAGATGGGCTGGCTGGGGGATGCTGACCCTAGCCCAGCCCCTTCCGCCTGAGGCCCCACCCCTTCCGGGGAGGGGAGGGAGGAGGAGATGGCCCTGAACTGGTAAGAGCTCCATTTTACTTTCACCCCTGACTAAAATAAAGATTTAGGTTGACAAAAGCAAAATAAAAAGGGAATATCAAAGCTAAGGCTGACACACTAGAACAGACTTTGCCCGTGGAACCCAGGCTGCAAGTTCTGATGGTGTAAGTCTATCTGGTGTGTTGCTTCCTGCAATAGGTGTTGACCCTGTCCACATCAGCAAGGCAAATTACTTCAATACCAGTTGAGAAGGGATCCAGGGGGTCACTTGTCACAATTCTTTTATACAGTGTGGACTCAGCCTAGGAGAACTTTTATACGGAAGACTGTTTAAACTAAAGAACGGTGGCTGGATACTGGAGGAGAGGTATGGTGGAACATCAAATAAGATGGGAAAGAGATAGTATTTGTGCCCTAGCCAAAACTAGCCTTTGTTTTTTGAAAAAAATGTAATCTTCAAAACCATTTCAGGAAATAATTTTGTAGCCTGTATTAATCTAAGGTGATGGGAGAAATACCTTTTAAAAATATATATAATTTTCAAGACTATGTTATTGCTTTGGCTCAAAAACAGTGTGAAGCTTTCCTCTTTTCCACATGGCTGTGCTACCTGAAACACTTTTCAGGTCACTTCTTGTAAATCACTTCAAGATCAGGGAACACTCATGTTGTGGTGGAGTCACCAAGAAAACAAATTCAATGCATAGGACAGGAGATAAAGAGGGATAGTCAGAAAAGAAATTACACAAATTAAACATTTTTTAAAAGATTATTTTGTTTCTTATAATATTATAAACCATGTGCAGTCTTTTTACAGCCTTTTTTCCCCAGGAAGGATAATGCTAAAATTTTTAAATAAGGCTCTCTTTTTTTCAGCAATATTTTTCTTCTGGGTATTGTATATTGCTATAAGGTAACACATTCCTGACTCACCTAGGATGGTTATCCATTCTGATGGGTTATTGTTACACCTATGGAAATAGACAAAAAAAATTTTTTCTCTTCTTTTCACTTCCACCACATCATTCCAGAAAAAGCACATTTAGTACAGAGAAGGAACAGCAACTGAAAGCTGAATCATCAAAGAGCAATAAAAAGAAATTTCTTATATGTTGGGCAGGATACCATGGTCCGGGGTAAGGTTACAGGAGGGAAGAAGGGGACTTGACATAAAACAATATTTCTGAAGAGAGAGACAAGAAAACTCACACTTATCTAAACTTGCTGAGAACTTACAGAAAATCAAGCTTCAGGGTTGTGGGAGTAAGAAATTAAAACTAGAGTTGGTTGGGCATTTTTCTACTAAGTGTTTTTTTTGTTGGAAAATGACAATTCATCAAAACCAAAACTGCTCATGGGAAAAGGTCAGTTTCAGTTAATTTCCCAGGTCGAAATAAATTTCAAATTGTTGAAATGGGATGTTTCAACATTTTCTAAACCAAAAAGTTTTTTTTAAACTACTTTCTGTTTCAAAATGTACATTAATTTAAAGGGGGAAAAATGTGGAATAAAAAGTCAGAATGAAACATTTCAATTGATCCAATCTGAATTTTTTTTGAATTATTACTTCACAACTATTTGATATTTTGACTTTTTGTCCCATTTTGGGATGGGAAAATTTCTGAAATCTCATATTCTTTTGGGTTGGAAAACTAGTTTAATTAATATTGGGGAAATTAAGTTTAGGTTGGGTCATTACAAAACCTAAACTTAATTTCCCCAATACTAATTTCTCCCTACCGTTACTCACACCTTCTTGTCAACTGTCTGTAATGGGCCACTCTCTTACCACTTCAAAAGTTATTTTTCCTCCCTTGGTATCCTGCTGTTAATTGATTTATCTCATTAGACTGACCTCATACTTGGTAAAGCAACCCCCATCCTTTCATGTATTTATACCTGCTCCTGTATTTTAATTCCATGCATCTGATGAAGTGGGTTCTAACCCACGAAAGCTTATGCCCAAATAAATTTGTTAGTCTCTAAGGTGCCACAAGGACTCCTCGTTATTTTACCAGAGAGAAGGAAGCTGGTGGCACTGAGAAACACGGTGCTGATTCATGAAACTTAGAACAGCATGAGGTTTAAAAGAAGTGTTTGTTCTTTACCTTTTGGAAAACTTTTTTCTCATCCTTGATTCCTTTCTACAACAAAATTCTCCACAGAAAAAATCATGTAGAAAAAAACTCTAGCCCTAGGAACATTCATTAAATGTCTCATCTGTTCTGTAGATAGGCTTTCCACATACATCATCTCTGGGACTTTTTTTTATTTTTAAAAGAGAAAACTGATTGCACACTCAAATGAAGCAAACCTAATGAGTAGAGTCAGTGTGGTTTTATACAAATACATATTGACATTTACCCAATGTGCATCTATTTGCTCAATATTTAGGACTTGTCTATATTAGAAAAGTTGTACAGTTTTAACTAAATTAATTTGAAGTCTGTGTAGTTAAATAAATGATGCCCCCTAATGCAGATGCACTTAAGCCCATTTAATCCTTGTTTAGTTTGTACTAGTAAATTACTAAATTAAACTAAACTTCCCAAAGATGTGATAGCAGATAGGGTCTTCAATTATTAAGAACAATATGAAGGGATATTACCAGTACATTATACAGTACTAATTAAACTATAACTGACGAAAACAGATGATGCATCATGAATGTTTTTATTTTTGTTCACTTGATAGTTTGCAGAATTCAGTAACTTGCAACAGGTCTCTTTGTCATTGGTATAAGTTACCAAGATTCAATTAGCTGGCAAGGAAATGTGCAATAAAGTTACAATCAAGTTTTTAAAACCCAGTTGTCAGATTTCAGAGTCATAGCTTGAAACAGTTAATTAAAACTTATAAGCTTTGAAGGAACTTTGCTCTATAAAAATCTAGATTTTAGAAGATAAATTGAGCGATAGCCCTGTTCCAAAATAGGACTAGCATCATAATTGTCTTGATTACATTTATCATAAGTCTGGATTATTTTTCATTTGATGATGGATGGATGAATGAATGTTTGAGGAACTGGCTTTGTTATGTTAAGGGTTTTCTCATTAGTTATTTTTATAGGAGTTTTATATTGAATTTTCTGATAACTGGTGACATGACTTTTTAAAACATTTGACTCTGATAAGACCACGCCAGCTTCCTCAAAAGTGGGTTTTATGTGTCAGGATTTTTCATATTTTGGAGGGCTACAAACCAGTAGTTATCGTGATATTGAAAATATCAAATATTTTAAAAACTGCTGGCTTAAAAAGGCCTTTTCCAAGTTGACACTTGCTAACAATGACCTAATTCAAACTTAACTAGATTGAGTTGTATGGCTTCATAATAGGCCTTGCACCTGATCTGTCAAAAGACCTTGGAGGGAGGAGCTGCAAGGTGGACCAAGTGAAACTCGTAAATCATAAGAATCAGGATAAGGCTGAGAAACCTCACCTTTCAGGTCAACAAGCTATTTCATGGAAGACCGATGTTCCAGAATCATCAAGACTGATCACCTTAGTGAGAGGAAGTCATAACATCAATTAACAGTCTATGCCAACATTTGACCAGTCTTTCCAGGCCCCCAAATAAGGCCTGCTAACAAGAAGCACGGTGCCAGCAGAACATCATGATCTAACTCCCTGACTACAGTTCCAGACCTATTCCATGGGAGTCCAGAAGACTGAGAACTGAAGAATTTGTGAACTCCTAAAATTTTAAGTATCTTATTTTTCATTTTCTATTTTTCATTACCTGTGAGATATATCAGCCTTCTTACTTTCTTTAGTTTTAGGATGTGAAGGTGATTGTGTGTGTCCATGTATGTGAAAACACCCAAAAGCTCACATAGGGAATGCACCAGAAAGAACATTTCCCCAGGTTTTAACAGCCCCAAACATTGTCTCAAAGACAATCAAAAGTGCTTAAAAGTCCTGAGAAATTTGAGATTATCATCTATAATTTTCGGCAAACGTCTGTTTTAAGAGTGTTTTGTTAGACTTTAAATTATATGTCTGTTTGTTAACCTAGGGCTTGAGCGTTGACACTCATTTATAGCCCCAGTTTAGGAATTGTTGAATCCTGTGTCCCAGCATGGGGTTCCAGTGTCTATACTGTATTATGCAAGCTTGTGTCCAGCCATCCATACCCAGACTACTTAGTGTACTCCCAAAATGTGGCTGCTTAGCCCTGGATTAGAGTGATTTGTGTGTAGATGCAAGGGGGGTGGGGGCAGGAGGTTAGGCTTCAGTTCAAACCTTGTGTTTATACTGCACTCTAGACATACCCACAGTGTAGGGTGACTAGATAGCAAGTATAAAAAATTGGGGTGGGGGTGGGGGGTAATAGGTGCCAATATAAGAAGAAGCCCACAAACTCCAAACTTCCTATAAAATCGGATATCTGGTCACCCTACCACTGTCTCTTCATACTTGTTAGTACAGACCCCAGCACACTGGGTCTCTAGTCCTATTGAGAGCTGTAGAAATATTAGTAGCAGTAGTTGATATCTGATCAGTAGTTTGAAGGCATATGTTAAATGTTATTCAAATGAGAGAGATGCCAAGTAGCAATAGCCTGAGCTCTTTCAACCTTCCTCCTACTAGCACATCAAAATATGTGCTTCATTCGTCCCCAGTGGAAATGAAATCCCCTTTTACACTCTGCAGCTAATGGCCCTAGTGTGACCAGCTGTCCCAATTTTGGGATCTTTTTCTTACGAAGGCTCCTATTACCCCTCACCTCTTGTCCCGATTTTTCACACTTGCTGTCTGGTCACTCTAAAGGGCCCCAGTGGAAATTTGGGGTGGAAGGGCCCTGGTACCCAGGAGAAGAAAAAGAAGTTGCTGAGGGCAGGCACACATATGAGTGGCAGTAACTGGCAGTGATGCGGCGCTATCTGTTGGGGGAACAGTAACGGGCAGTGATGAGGTGCTAGGTTGCAGGGGGGAGGGCATGAACGGGCATGGAGGGGGAATGCTGTGGGGGCACTAAGATTTTGGAGGGCACAGTAAGTGTCACTGAGGGAGTCCCGGCGGGAGCAGTAACTGACATTCCAGGGGCAGGCTGGGGACTGGCGGGAGGCGGTAACGGGCAGCGAGGGGGGCGCGTGCCCTGAGGCTGTGGAGAATAACGGGCAGCGAGCGGGGCGGCGCGTGCTGTGTGTATGGGGCGGGGCCGGTAACGGGCAGCGAGGGGAGCGGCGCGTGCTGTGTGTATGCGTGGGGGGCATAACGGGCAGCGAGCAGGGCGGCGGCAACGGGCAGTGAAGAGGGCGCGCACGGGGCGGCGGAGACAGGGAGCCGTCTCCACCTCCCCAGCCCGGTGTACGGCCACGGACAGTCACTCACCGCCATGCAGCCTGCGGGGGCCGGTGACAGGAGTCCGCGAGGCGATGCCCGAAGCAGCCGGGGCGGCTGACGGTTCCGGCCCGTTGGCCCCCCCACCCAGCGTAATAGGGAGCCGCAAGCCGCCCTAGATCGGGTGCAGGAGCCTCCCTGGGACCAGGTGGGCCGCCCCGCCTCCGAGCACTCGAGACCGGTCGGGACTGTCTGTCACGACGGAGCAGGTCAGGTGGCGGAGGGGAGGGAGGGGCCATTGTACTCCCACCCCGCCCCGCCTGACTGACTGACTGACACGGGCTGGTGGGGAACGGGGGGCATGCGTGACCCCAACCTGCAGAACACCTGGTTCCGCCCGCCGGCGCCAGTAGGCCCCACACCCATTCCTCGGGCACCCGCCCCCACTGTGCTGTCTGGCTGCTGCCCTGACACCCAGAAGTGGCTGCATTTCAGTGGTACCAGCTGTATATAGAATGGGTGTGTGACCTACTGTGGGGGGAAAGGGTACATGTGCCCGCAGATATTTAATCTCGCCTTAGTTGAAGTTAACGTTGTCATGTTCTCGTCTGGTGGTGGTTGTTTGCTCAAGGGTACAGGGGGCTTTACAGGCAAGTAAGAGGACAAGGGCTCTGCCCTTTGAAGCTTCCACTCTAAAGGAGACATGGCATTGTCTAATCGTGTCAACCAACCATAAGGACGGGGAAAGATAAGATATAAGTTTTCTCCTTGTCTCCTATATAGGCATAAAAGTGAGAGCTAATAGCACAGGCCCAAGCAGAGATGCCTGATGGAAAGCTAACCTGGAATTAATTTTGGTTTGAGAAAGTCATCTCCACTGTCATTCCAAATCCTATGGAGTACTTATGGCCCTGTTTAATTCTGAAGATGGTGACCAGTTCCAAAGGTAATAGGTGTATGCACTGTGTGTTCCAGTGACATTTAAAATTTCACATATTCCCCCAATATTTGTGTTCCAGTTAAGGGAGCTCTGAAAACATGACGTTTAAAATGGGGAGGGAGACATCCTGCTGTTCTTCTCCTTGCATTCAACAAAAATCTTCCTGAGCAAAAGATGTACCTCTGAGGTAAAACGAGAAACGAGGAAAGTCAAGTGGAAAAAAAACAATGAACACAAAACTTAAGTATTGCTCTATGCCAAAAAACGAAGTAGGCAGCCTCTTGTTCTAAATGACCGCTTTAAAATATTGCTCTATACTTTCCAGTACAATATTATTTGATGTATACTAAGAGACAGCTTCTGCTAGCAAACCTTTGCTAACTGCTTAAAGTTTTCAATGTAACTAAATGTATAAGAAAAATCAAAAACAATTTTAAAGACTTTTCAGTTAAGAAATTGACCAAAATTGTGATTCTTAGAGCAAGATTTGTGAAAGAATAGTGAGCTATACAATTCTGTCCTCACAGCAGTGAACTTAGTTGAATATCTTTATGGAATTGTCATAAATCCAGTCCAGTATTCTCAAACTATTGATTTATTCCACACTACAGCCCCAATCCTGCAAGTTTCCATGGCCAGACCCTGTGCTTATGTACAATAACTTGCAGGATCAGGCCTTAAAAGGAAACCAGCACTAGAATTCTCCTTTTTTTTTTAATGCCAACTTCAAAAAAGAAATTCACAAACAGGCTATCGATTAGACTAGGTATAGAAGAAAGGAAATCATTTTTAACTTAAAACAGGAACAAAGTAAAAATTTGACATGGCACTTCTTTCCTATCCAAAAGTTAAAAGGCACTTTTAATTGCAAATCCTATAGTCCTCACTCAGGCAAAAATGAGTAAATGCTGCAATATGATCACTTGTCATTCACCTTGTTGTTAAAGAAACAAACTATTTCCCAGTCTATTTATATAGTTCATTGGTCTGCTTGTGTAGTTAGGACACATAAAATTGTACAAGAAAAATATGCAAAAATATATTTGTAAGAAGTAGAATCATCTTCAGCTGGGATACTCAAGCATCCTTGGTTCCAGAGAATTTTCATTGTGTTCCAAGAATTCATTCACTATTTGTTCCCTATTTTAAATCAGCTCAAACTGACCATTCAAGTTGGTATGATGAAAGAGGTAAACACACATACTCTTGGAAAAACTGCTTCATAAAGATCTTTGTAAATTAGAGCATAGGACCTTAACAGAATCTATAAAACATTTTCAAGGCCAGTTAAACAATTTCCCTTAATCTCTAGATAGACTCTGAATGTAAACTGAGTAGAGAGCAGGGGAGATACCAGATGTTACAGGATTACATCAGTATCATTTTATAACGTTGGGCAAGTTATAGTGCTTTTCTAAATTAAAAAAAAACCAACCCTGAACCTTTGAACGACAACCCGAGTGTAATCCGAAGGTGACCACTTACACTAAACACAATGGATCATAATACTGTCATTTCAAGTGGGCCTTTTTTGATTGGTACACTATTTGATAATTATTTAAAACTTCAGATGGTCATGCCAGTGATGCAACTGTAGCAGACACAAGATTTTGACTCATTGCCTGAAACATGTCACAATTCTCTTATGCTGGAAGAATGCAGAGCTTGCACTTATGGATATGGTTCTACCAGTACTGATGTTGGATTTCTTTTAGTTTGTTTCTTTAAACATCAGCATTGATACCTTCTCTCAGGGAAAATGTGTAGGCAGAGAAAAATTCTGAAGATGTATTTACAATAGCCTCATACTGTGTTCAGAACAGAGGACAAGTTTAGCAACAGGGATAACTAGAAAAGGATACAAAAGTGGTGTAGCAGCAGCTCACTCTGAGTTCTGGTATTAAAGGGGAAATTCAACAGCAGAAACAATTAGAAAAGTGCCCAGGCCTATGAGACTGAGTGTTAAAATGAGTTCGCTCAGGGGATGTGGTGGAGGGGGAGGGGGGGAAGGAAGGCAAGATTATTTATGTGCCTCCATTAATCTTAAAAGAACCCTTGTGTATAACCTGTACTAATTTTGTCTGTCAAAGCTACAAAAATAAGTGGAAACTAGAACTATAGGCCATTCACACACTGGTAATTCAGAGAAATAATACTCACTGACTGATGTATCCATTTTTTTAATTGGCTGCTGGTGGAGAACACAGCTAAGCAGCAGTATCTTTGATTACAACACAGTAACAGCTCAAATGATTGTGTTCGTGAGATTTTTTTTTTCCTATACAATTAAAATGTATATTTTAACCTTTGGAACATTATTTACTTCTAGTCATTCATATCAAAATGTATGTTTAGATGTCCATGTCACTATACATTCAAACCACGGACCTTTTTTCTTTTCCAAGTTAAAAATAAATCAGAAAATAGAATTTTTCCCTCAGTTACTTTTATAAAGACTAGGCAAGAATGTAAGTTACAAACCTAGAAATGGCCTTTGGGATACTCTAAAAGGATAAGGAGAGCAAACTGATCTCTGAACCCCCTCCATCAACTAAAAGGCCATTCTGTCAGTCTTTAGTCAGTCAAGACCCCCTCTTCAAATCAGTTTTGCTAAAGGATTACATGTCTAAGCACAAAAATACCACATTTTTACATTCTTTAAAAAAAATAATTTAAACCCACAGAGCTAAATTCCATCCCCTTTCAGCCCCTTTTAATAATTCATAAATGGTTTTTGCTTCAATTACTTTAATGTCTTTAATTGCTGTCAGAGACTCTTGGAACAAATCTAAAGTCTTTCTTTACATGGGTACCACCTGCAGCACAGGCAAAGTCAGATTTTTTCAGTCCTCAATGAAGAATGATATGGGGACCTCTATTCTTAGCCTGTGACTTAACTATGTTGTAAAAATATTAATCTTATTGAAAACCAAGACCTATACCATTTTTAAAAAATGCAAAAACTCAGGCTTTAAATGTTTGGGGTTGGTTTATAACAAGAAGGTGTAGTTTAGGAATGATTAGTTTCTTTGATACCCAAAATTATTTGTATACTATTTAATGGGGCAGAGCTCTTCCACTAGTGCTTGTAATGAAAACAGTACCATCAGGGGAGGAAGTGAGCCCACATGAATGTCTAACTAGTTTGTTGCAAGATTGAAGCCTTGTGAAATTTCTGTATTTTCCTCCCCCCAGAAACCAGGTGAATTGTTGATCTACATCCTCTAAAATAAACCTGATTGTGCATTAAATGCCACATCCTCAACCCAGCTAAATGCACAGATTGCTTCTACTAAATTGAAAAGAAAATTCCCTGATGCAAGTTATGTGCTGATGTGAAAATATACCGAGAGAGAGAGAGATCTGAGCACTTAACTTGCTCTTTGTTACAGAAGAATGTGTTCTAGTACTGAGATTCTCAGGCAACTCCCACACGTGTTGAACCCTTATTTTATAGGAAATATTACTCAGAGGACACCAGATTAAGATGATTTACTAATTTCATGTGGGGGAGGGTAAGAGGAAAAAAAAAATCATATACAGAACTCCTTGGGGCATCCAGTTAAGAACAGACACTTACAATAAATGGATCTGATAAAACGTTGCTTTTCTGCAGTCCTTTTGCTAACTGGTACTTAGAGCTTCAGTTTGGACTGGGCACCCTATACTGCACAACAAGGGTTTCCCTAGTAGTTGGATATTCCATTAATGTATTACTGTATAGTATGTTAATCTGGCTAATGAATTGACTATTTTTTTCCAGTAGCAGCCAGTAATTTTTTTTAAAATGTACATTTACACCACCTTAACTTATGAATGACAGGAACCAAAGTATTCCATTTGCCAATAAAATCAATAGAGAGCACCTTGAAACTATAAGGGTGACATAATTTGCATCACAACCCTATTAAGGACCTTATCCTAATTCCATTTATTTCAGTGGAAGCAGGATCAGACATTGTTCAGGGGTGAGGGGTGAATCTTGAGCTAATAAGCACAACCAGCCCCCACTGAAGCAACTGGAAATTGTGGAACTCAAGTACCTACTTGAGTTCAGACCATAATATACTGAACTTTAGATAAAAGCTTTATAAAAAAAGAGAATGAATACAAAATAATTTAGTCTAGTGAGTAATTTGTCTAGCAATCTCAGTAACACTTTACTTTTAATAAACTCCAATGTTCTTTATATAGTCCTTATGAGAGAAAAGGGGACAAATGTTTGATTTCAATATCAGACCAGATAAGGGTGAGGTTCCTTGGTGGTTCTGTCTTTCTGTTATAAATACATATACATGTTACTATAATACAAAAACCAGAAATGGCTGCTCTCCGCTACAAAATAGAAGTAGACAGTTTTTCTAGGAGGCAGTTTTCTTCAGATGCTGGACTGTAGGTTATCTAGAAACTTCAACAGGTTAGGGCTACTTCTTGCCATTCATTTTCATGCTCCAACATCAGAGGTTGTTGCTGAATATCTATAGGCGTACAGCTTGTTGTCTGCCCCTCCACTCAACAGCAACTGTAATGGGGAAAAACAAGTTGTGCCCATTGTCAAACCAAGTAAATATCCACACAATTTTTGTCCCTGGGCAACACCTATGAGCTGAATAAATATTTAAAATTATTCCTCAGCAGTCTGATTCTGTTTTTCCTCTGAAGAGCTAAATGGCAGGAGTTAAACAATGGTGATGTGAACCCCGTAGTCTGTTTTAATTGGTTCAAATTCAGAAATAATACAGCCTTATATCTTACCCTCCTACTAAAACCACTTAGGGAAAGGTAAAGCTTACGTGAAAATGTATAAGGCTTTCACTGCTCTGCCACATCTTAGTCTAAGGGAGGGCCCCTGGGACTGTGGAGTTGGGGTCTCCAAAACCTATGCTGTGCTTAGATACATGCAGCTGGGCCCCAAGGTAAACATCATGCTCCTGCCCACACCACAAAGAAGTGGCAGCACACCTTTGCCAGGTCCAGCTGCCTGTGCACGCTACCTTCATAGTCTAATGCCACAGAGGAGAAAATGCTGCTTAGAGGAGCACAGGAGTAATTTTCATCATAAGTTCCCATGTCCAGAGAAAGAAACATGCCACCTTGAGTGGCTGTTCTGACTTCCACCCTTCCTTGATTTTGTCCCCCTAATGCTATGGTGCAGAGCTTTCCTATAATCCCCATGGATGGGAGGGGGTGGCCATCTGGTAATGATACCGAACAACCACTTTTCCCCTATAGAGAGTCCACCCTAACCCATCACTCTACAATTAAGGCCTTCTAGTCTCCTCCATGACATATAAGCAAAAGGGAGAATACAATCCACGCACACCAATAGGAGATATCCAATAGTAAAAAGCTCATTGTTGTTCTCTAGTTAGAATTAAACATCAATCATACCATTATCAGCCCCTTTCCCATCCAAAACACACACATTTAAGGAATAAAATCCTGTTCCTCAAGTTCTTACCCCTGCTTCTGTCCATTCCACACACAAAACCTTGTCTTCATGAGCAGCCAAATCATAGAGAGGAGCCTTGCAACTGATAAGATAGACATTTAGAGTCATAAATCATAAATTAGGTAAAATTATATACAAAGTTTTCGCTCCTAGAAATTCTGGGTTTGAGCACACTATAATCTTGTAACATTTAAAAACCATACTTCTACCACTATATTTCTTGGGGGAGAACAGAATTAAGCCATCTGCTGGTCTTCCCAACCACTGAATTCAGACAACAGCTGTTCCTGATTCTAGCATGTATTTCTGTACGATTGTGTCTATATTAGGTAAGTGGATCATTGGTAACTAGACCAGTCAGATAGCATCAGTGGTGCAGAATGTCTACACAAGACATGCTCTTTTGCCCCACATGCACACTTGGACTATATTACACCATTAGAAAATTGCGCTGCCTTTTGGGTATACTCTGGAGCAGTGCCTTGTTGGAAATTTTGAAGGGCCTTCTGGGAGCCCAGAGGAATTGTGGAATAAAAGGTCAAGCTCCCATAAGGCTTTGGGTAACGGTGCCCTTTCCTACTTCTTTTCACAAAATGGAAACCAGAGGTGAACACTTAGCTCTCGTTTCTTACTCGATAAGAAAGGATTCTGATGAGGCTATTGAAGAGCAGTTGCAAAGCATCTGAAGCAAGGCCATGGAGAATGTTCTGAGAGCACCTCCAGAGCAACAGAACCAGAGTCCAGTAGCTACTGACAAAACCTTTGGTGCCCCCACCCTGGAGTAGCTAGCTTTTATGCAGTATCTGAGGATTATATTCACTCAGGGAATGCAATTTTTGGATCCTGACCAGGGCCATGGACTGGTGAGAGAAAGTTGTTCAAGGTGTGGCATCAGGAACAGTACGTGCATAACTCAGAATGGAGGAAACAATTCACTGTACTTCTGTGGTGAGCTAGCCTTAACACTGTAGCACCAACTCAACAGGATGAAAGCTCCGTTCAGTGTGGAAAAGAATGGTGACTCCTCTGTGGCAGCTGACTATCCCAGATGGCTACTGGTGAGTAGGGCACGATTTTTGTGTTTGGGAAGTCTTGTGGGACCTGTTGTTGTGAAGGTGTGCATGGTAACACAAACATCAGATATCCACAAGTCTATGAAGTCCAAGACACCTCCCCAAGAAGCTCACATGAGTTTTGATCTCTACTCCTGCCATGTTCAACATAGGAAAAAATCAAATATAGTTTTTCACCTGTCTGCAACTTGTTTAATGAGATTACTAGGTATACAGCTTATTATAAATTGATTATGATTGATTATGCAATCAAACCCTAGACCAATTACCCCTTTCAAGTCAGATGTTGTTGGACTTAGACCAGTGGCTCTCAACCATTCCAGACTAGTGTAACCCTTTCAGGAAGTCTGATTTGTCTTGGGTACCCTCAAGTTTCACCTCACTTAAACTACATGCAAACAAAATCAGACAGAAAAATACAAGTGTCACAGCACACTATTACTGAAAAACTTCTTACTTTCTCATTTTTATCATAAAATTATAAAATAAATTGATTGGAATATAAATATTATACTTACATTTCAGTGTATAGTATATGGAGCAGTATAAACAAGTCATTGTCTGTATGAAATTTTAGTTTGTTCTAACATTGCTAATGTTTTTTATGTAGCCTGTTGTAAAACTAGGCAACTATCTAGATAAGTTGATGTACCTCCTGGAAGACCTCTGCGTATCCCCAGTGGTACATGTACCCCTGGTTGAGAACCACTGACCTAGACCTCTTGCTTTTGCAAGTATCTGTTTCAGACACAAACTGCTACTTTCCTTGCAGCTGTGTGTTATGAAATGTCCACAATGGGGAGCAAATAAAACTACACACATTAGGCTCCTTCCGGAAGACAGATACTCCTAAAAATCTTGCTAGCATAACTAAGTTTTGTTTTTTTTTAAATTAACCCACGAGCAAGATTACTAATGAAACCTCTTTCCACGTCATCTCACTCAATGCAGTATTGCCACAGAAATCCTGGGTGGGAAGGTCAATGCAATTGCCACAGAAATCCTGGGTGGGACGGTCAATGCAATTGATTTCAATGTCAAGCCACAGAGCTGCTGGCAAAAGGCAAGTGCATTTCTCACTCTTCTATTAGGTGTCTCTAATCTCCATAGGGATTTCAGAAATTTAGCTGGAGTCTCCATTTAACTTCCCCATATGCTTTTGCTGTGTCACAAGGCTATATGAAACGCTAAGTGCTACCTGTGAATATTAAAGAATGGCATTTACCTCCTTGTGTCCCAAATCTTGACAATGTTGTCTAGAGAACCTGAGATTAGCTGTTGCTCATGTGTGGGGGACCACTTCACAGATGTCACCCAGCCAGTGTGAGAGGTCAAAGAGAGGAGTACCAAGGAACCATCTGGGACAGAGAAAATAAAAACCCACCACCCCAATTTACAGAAATGTATACAGGTCAGTTTAAAGATATTTATAAAATCCACCAGTATATGAGAAGCAGTCAAGATTAACATATGTGGGGGCCAGGTAGTTCTTCCTGCTCATCATGCTCATCATAATATTGCTTCAAACAGCATGAGAGGTTAAAACACACACATGCATGCACACAAGCTCCTGTAGAAAGGACAAAAATCTAACCACCTTCTTGTTACCAAAGAGGCACATTTTCCACTGTTGAAAGAGTTTCTTTGATGAAGATGACTGAATAGCTCTAGCGATCAGTAATGGGATATGGAGCCTTTTATCTCTAGATTACTGGTTCAAATCTGCCCTGGTTTGTAGTGGCTAAAAAGACATTACTGTCTGGCTTATGATGTGTGGTAGTCTCAATCTAGATTACGAACTGCGATGATTGGCAGCCATGTCAGACTTGTAAGGAGCCCAAAGATTGATCAGACATGTAATCAGCTATTTTTTCACTTCTACGGATGGTCTCCCCTATTCAGGGTTTAGGCACCCTGGCAAAACAGTGGCATTTAACCCACTGATAAATAGTGACTTTAGATTTCAAGGCTGTTAGCAGGGCAGCTTTCAAAATTTACTAAAAAAGAAATGTCTTTAAAAGAGAAGAATTTGATTTGTTTTCCAAGTTACTATCTAAAGAATGAAAGTTATTAAGAATGAAAAAGTCATGCCTCAAAAAGCAATAGTACTTATAATAGCCAATTAAAATTAGCTACTGCTGTGGTCAGCTGAAACAAGGCTCACCCAGAGAGCAGGCAGGGAATGAGGGTAGCTTCTCATCACTTTACACAGTCATGGGAGCATTTTTGCAATGGAATGTGGAAAGGATCTGGGTTCATACAGCTTTCCCTGTCCCCACTGTTCCTGTTAATTTTTGGCTAAAATGGTCTAGCTCCCCGGTTAGGAAACACTATTACAGACAAATACCAAAGTTTGTGTGTGCATCTCATGAAATGTGTTAAGATGTACTCCCTTCTCTCAACACATGTTATGAATTTGAAAAAAGTCATTTGTGTTACCCACACATTCACTTTTGCTCACCTTTAGTGCGGGGATCCCATAATCTAATGTGTCTGTCAGTACTCCCAGATGCTAGACGTCGACACAGTTGTGAGTAGGAGATCGAATTAAACACTTTGTTTCCGGTCTGCATAAGAAAAGAAGTCATAAGGTAGGAGCTACTCTTGTACAAATTCTAAATTCAAACTGAACTGGTGAGGAATTTGGTGAAAAGTTTTAATATACAACATATAAAGAAATCTCACTAAAGTTGATTTGAGACCTCCTGTTTCCACATCCCATATTTTAATTGTGTGATCCCATGATGCACTACAAATTTCTTCAGCATCCGACCACAGCACAGAGGAGATGGCTTCAGTATGGCCAGAAAGAGTTGCAATGGGAGTCTAGAAATTAAATAAAATATTAAGATCAGAAAAATAATGGATTAGTTATGGTAGAAAAAACATTATTTCACCAAACAAATATGTTTGTATGTAGATTAATTTTCAGATATTTTCATCAGAAATGTCCCCCTACACACATTTATCAAAAAGGGAAAATATTTTCCATTTCCATGCTTTTCAGTTGAGGTTCTACATAAATCCTGACCACTTCTTACCCTGGTTAGTCCAAGCTGTTCAATTTTCTGCTTCTTCCTTGGTCTGTTTGCTGCTTCCTCTATTTCATCCTCTTCATCTGTAGGCACTATGATGGAAAGAAAGTCAAGCTTGATTTAGAAGTGTTTGAAATACATTCTCCGCTAAATATTTACATGGGCCCCCCATCACCATAGTATCCAATTGCCTGCCAAACATACATTTAATCCTCAACCCTCTTGTCAATTAGATCAGTATTATTATTCCTATTTTACAGCTGAGGAATTTAGGCACAAAGAAATTAACTCAGATCTTCTACAGCCCAGATGAATTCCTCATCTACAAGACCATCCTTCCTTCATGGAAAAAAACACAATAATTCCATCCTATATTCTGTACACAGTCACTCTATATTTTAATTTACACATTTATTTGTACATAAACATAAATGGGCATTTTGAAAGGAGGCATCCAACTGGCTAGCGAAGGACTGTGTGGTTATTTTATGTCACCAGGTCAGGATCAGTTTAGTCAATTTATTGTCCCTCAAATCACAATGTCTATGAAAGAAGATTAGGAAAAGAATCCACAACTTCTTAGTGTCCATATTAAAAACTACAAACTGTACGAGCCTATTGAACGCTAAAATCAGTAGATACTATTTGGAAAAAAGACACCCAGTTGGCATCTATACCTGAAATCTAAGTGTTTAAGTTAAGTTTATGTCATGACCTTGTAATTACATCTGTGCAGAGGTCTGCCGCATTATGTCAGTGCAGATTGGGGGCTTTAATCTGTTTTAAGTAAGACAGTGTCAATTATCGCAGAAAAAACAGAAGTTAAATTGTTAAAACTGAACTGTCTAACACAATCTTGGTGCAGTTACTGTTTCACCATAATAAATGACAATAGTGAGGAGATGTTGCCTCCCTCTGAGACTGATGGGGAGGGACCACTCCCCACCCCCGGTGGGTGGATCCAGGTAAGCCATGCCCCCCCAAAAGCAGAAGGGCAGGACAGGAAGCTTAAAAGGCAGGCCCTGTAGCTCAGCTGGGCCTGCTGCTGAGCCAGAGCTCTACAATGGCGAGGATCCTGAAGGGGTGTTGGGACTGCCACTGAAACTGGGGAAAGGAGGAACCTTAGGAGATGGAGGTACAACTCCAGAGTGGTAGCAGGAAGTAGCCCTGGGGCACTAGACATTAGTTCGGTTTGGTTGCCAGAGTCTAGGTCTGTGTGTTTCAGTGGGATCCCTGCTGACCCAGTGGTGACGGGTTCTGCTAGCCAGGGCCCATGGCTAGGACCCGGTGGAGTAGGGTGGGTCTGGACCTCCCTACCCCCTGCTACCAGCCCTCCCCTGGAGTTGATAGCCTCCCCACCTGAGGCTGGATGGCCTGAGACTGCTTTTTGCTCTGCCCTGCCCAGAGGGCCAGAACCCCTGAGACTGCTAATTCCCCTATTGAGCATTGCATTTATAGGCACACTGTAGTGAGCCCCCCCACCCCAAGACCGATGGGGAGGGATGGCCACTTACCACTACAGTGGCCAAGAATAAAAAAGGTTTATGCACATGCTTAACTTTGCTACCATGAATAGCCTCAGGGATTTCAATGGGATTTCATGCTCATGATAGTAAAGTTATGTATAATGTTTAAGTGTGTGCCTTAGCTTTCATATAGGGCTCTAGGCCTTAATAGCATTTTATAGATTCTACTTAATCCTCCAAACAACTCTGAGAGGCAACTATATTTAAGGGAAAAAAACCCTGACAGGAACGTAAATTTTATTCTCAGAAATGGAAAATGTATAAAAGCGGTAACATTGCAAAGTAAGAGCTTCTGGTGTAACTGAATAACTATATACACAAATAAAAACTTCAAAAGTGAAAAATTAAGACATAATACCCATTTAAAATAAAATCTATTCAGAAGTTTGTCATTGAAGATAATTACATTAAAACTCTAAATTAGAGCCAAAAATCCCAGGCAAAGTATTCATAAAATATTCATCTTACCTGCAGACCAGATCTTTAACATCTTATCCCAAGATCCACTGCAGAACTAGATAAACAGAAACTCTTTATTAAAAAGATTATGTAAAATCCTACTAGTTCACATAAGCCACAGAAAGTCATCTTTCTGCTCAATGCTTCCAAAATCATCTTCAGCTTTTTGTGCAATATTAAGGGTTTTATGTATCTTTTCAATACTGCACATTATTTCCATTACATCAAATGCAAGGCTATCGCCAATTAATACATAGGTTTATACAAATTGTACACACTTAACAAATGACCAGTTCTCATGCGGAGGACAAAAATGTGACTTTTAAACATAAACAAGCAACACAGAATCCACAACTCATTAGCTCAACACAGACCTCCTTCTGCAAGTAACTCACTTTAGTTCTTGTGCAGTCAACTGCTATAGAGTCCACACTTCCAGCATGTCCTCTACAGCAGTGAAGGGCTTTCACTTTGTTCCTCTCTACATTCCACTCCCACAGCAGGATAGTCTGATCCAGAGAGGCACTGAGTAGCAGGCATGACAAACTATCTAAGGAAGGAAGAAAGTGCCAACATACAAATCCAATTAATGAAGTCTTTCTAAAAAATCCTTTTAGAGGAAGCAAGATTAAGATTTTAAAAAATTACACAGTGACCCAATACAAATTAAGAGATTCATGTAAATATCACAAATTTAAATGTACAAATACTAATGAAGATTAACTTAGAATACGTAAATAGTTATTAGAAAATACTGGAGTTTGTTTAAAAAGTATTGAGGGATTTTATTGAATTCTTTCATTTTTAATATGACAAGCGGTGCTTACAATAGCTGTAACTTTTAGGTTGGCAATTGAACCTGTATGTTTTTCAGTAAATTGCTGTAGCCCCACTCCCAACCAGTATAAGGTGTACTGACCTTTTTTCACCCATGTCACATCTTTCACCACCTCTGTGTGCCCAGCAATTGTCATGATGGATTTTCCTTCTAAAGACCAGATTCGAGAAGTCTGATCGTAAGAGCCCGTCAAAATCCTAGGGGATACAGATATTAAAACATTCTTTAAAGCCAATGGTGCATCATGGGAGATCTTTTCAATGAGGAACTTAGAGAATATTAGTATTTTCAATCCATTAATAAATGGCGGAGTGTCAGTATAATCAATAGTGAACAACAGCTCTGGAAATATCTATAGTAGAACCTCAGAGTTACGAACTGACCAGTTAACCACACACTCCATTCGGAACCAGAAGTACGCAATCAGGCAGCAGCAGAGATGGATGAAATAAAGCAAATACACTACAGTACTATTAAACATAAATTACTAAAAAAAAATAAAAAAAAAAAAAAAAAAAAAAAAAGTAAAGTATCATTTTTCTTCTTCATAGTAAAGTTTCAGAGCTGTATTAAGTCAACGTTCAGTTGTAAACTTTTGAAAGAACAACCATAATGTTTTGTTCAGAGTTACGAACAATCTCCATTCCTGAGGTGTTCGTAACTCTGAGGTTCTACTGCGGTAGAAAAGACAAGTAGTGTGGTCAACATTTCTTTAAAGCACTCCAAATAAGGGTTTTGGAACTACAGTAATAACTTAGAATTAATATTTGAAGTATTAAATGTTGAAATGTTGAAATGTTAGAAATAAATGTAAAAAGACGGCAGGATGTTATTGTTTTATTCAGGGAGATACAACTCATGAGTAGCACTGAAGATATTAACTCACGGGTTCTCAGACTTTTGTACTGGTGACCCCTTTCACACAGCAAGCCTCTGATCCCCCTTATATATTAAAAACACTTTTTTATATATTTAACACCATTATAAATGCTGGAGGCAAAGCGGGGTTTGGGATAGAGGCTGACAGCTCGCGACCCCCGCTGTAATAACCTCACAACCCCTTGAGGAGTCCCAACCCCCAGTTTGAGAACCCCTGTATTAACTCATACCAAGAGCAAATCTCATACTTCTATGCATGGTACCTTCCTACTTGCGTTAAAGTTACTATCAAGGTAGCATGGAGGAGCTCAAACTTCAGCTACTTTCCCAAGCATATGGCCTGCATATAAACAATTGATTTAAAAAGGTAGAAAAATCATTTAAAAGAAAAGAGAAATATGGAATGGGAAGAAAACTATGTTAAAGAGAAGTACCAATAAAGAACTATGGAATCAGCTACAGACAGTGGGAGAAACCAAGATGGAAACTTAAGACTGGCTTAAGTGGGTCTGTGATACCATTCTTCCGTAGCTTCAACACAACTGATCCAGTCGTCATGGAACATGCATTCTTCGGGTTGAGGTGCTGTGTACTTCTCCACATATTCTATTTCCACCACTTCCTCCTGAACTCTCAAAAGACAAGAAGCCAGTCAGTGTACTTTTTCTTTTTAAATAAACAATCACAATGATCTAGTACAGTAGTTCCCAACCACTCCGAGTAGTGATATCAATTGGAAAGACAAAGATATCAACTATACAAGCCAGAGTCCCGTACCTTCCACACGACTGTGTGTACTCTACTCTGCCTCAGAGATTGAGCTGCTACTGCAAATGGGGATTCAGGTTGCCCTAACTCCTTGGCAAGCAAGCATATGCATAACTGAACAGAAGGCAGATGGTAGCAATGCATCAGAGCCCAGCACAAAGATTCAAAATTAAGGGCCCAATGCTGCAAACACTTAAGAATGTGTGTAATTTTACTTAGGTGAGCAGTCCTAGTGAAGTCAATGGGCCTACTCATATGATTAAAGTCACACACATGCTTAAGTGTTTGCAGGATTGGGCTCTTAGAGAATGAGTGATACCTTAAGTACAAGTACATCACTACAGATCAATGCTAACTATTGGCTTACCAAATTACTACTAATGCAGTAAGAAAAGGAGTACTTGTGGCACCTTAGAGACTAACCCATTTATTTGAGCATGAGCTTTCGTGAGCAAACTTCAGATGATGAAGTGAGCTGTAGCTCACGAAAGCTCATGCTCAAATAAATGGGTTAGTCTCTAAGGTGCCACAAGTACTCCTTTTCTTTTTGCGAATACAGACTAACACGGCTGTTCCTCTGAAACCTACTAATGCAGTGTTTAAAAGTAGCTGCAAATGATTTCCACAGTAAGACAATGTTGTTCTTTTTCTTTTCTAGGTTTTCCCCACTGTGTTTATCATGCTTAGTAGTGGAGTGTCTGTGCTACTTCAGATCATTTGACCCACACAGTGCCACTGGCTACAGACTAGTAGAGCAGGAGACAAAAGTACACTGATGGTGACCAAAATGGGACCAGTCTCCCTCCAGAACCATATGAAACCAGACAACAGGAGAAGGAAGTGTCTCAGGTTGCTCAATAGAAAACTCTAGTCATTAGGAGCACTTTCAGGCTCCAAAGCAAGTCTTGGTGAATCCTCCATGGGCAAAAGAATAATGCAGGGTCTTCAGAGGAAAATAAGGGAAATTATCTGGGCTTCATCAGAAAGGCGAAGGAATGCTAAGGAAGAAAAATACATGGAATATTCACAATATGGAGAACTTTCTTAATCAGAACTGTAAACCAGATCAAACTTAAAATCTGTATCTAATTAAATGGTCTAGGTCGGGATCTTTAAATCCCATCATCCTACAGTGTGGTCCACAGAAAATGCGTATGACTTACTGTTGAGATGTTTTCCGCATCCATGTGTTTGACCAGCGACATACGCAAGAACTGGCCCTTGACAAGGAAATCAAACTCCACATATTTGTGGTCCTCTAAGACAAACAAGAAAAAATGTTTAAATTTCAAGACTTAACTTATATAATCCAGAAAAAAGAGCAATTTTTAGGGAATGAAACTAAATTTAGTTCAAATAAATTGAAGGGCCACCTTCTTCTCCCAGTTACAACTGTGCAACCCCATGACCTACAGGGGATTACACAGATTTAAGTGAGGGCAGATCTTGACCCAAAGGATGCCTGGGAGAAAACAGCACCTAAGTTTCTATTAGTAGCATCTCTGGAGCCAGGACTCCAGGCTTCTAAGGTACTACCTCTTCAATTTTGGTTGCAATTTGAGAAGTTAAGAACAACTTTTAAAGTTTTACATGGGCCGAGACCCAATTATACCTCCATTTCTGTCTGCTGGAGCATCTCTGTTGTTGGTTAACCAAAATCCAGGTACCAACCTCTGGAACTTGCCTCCCCTGACTGCTCACCAGGGAAAGAGTCAGGTGAGTTTCAAATAACACTGCAAGGTTTTAGTCAGTCAACTGGATTAAAATTTCTTTTTTTTTTCTCTTTCACTTTAGTTGGAGGATCTAGACAAAATTATTTTTATTGTTAGCATTGCAATAGTGCCAACAGGGGACGATCAAGATTCCAGTGTGATAAGTACTGTATAAATAGAATGGGGGGCCGGGAACAGTCCCTTCCCCGAAAAGCTCACAATCTAAATATGTAGCCAGACAAAGGTACTCATGTTCATAGGTCTTTGCAGGAGTGGGACCTTTGTATTTTAAGCCCCTATAGTTTACACATTTATGAAGAGATTCTAAATACTTTAGTATGTGGGGTTTTTTTTGTTTTTAAGTACTCCTTTTTCTAAAAGAGGTAAATCACCTTCCAAATACATACCATGTTTAGCTTCCAGCAATTTATTGATGATGTTACTGAGGTCAGCAATTTCAGAGGTTGCTGGGATAGAGAATGGAACATCATCTACTACATACCTAGAGGGAAGAAAATAGGAATTGACTTATTGAGAAGTACCGAAACTCACAGCTCAACAGGTACAAAATAAGCATAGTATCTAAAAGTCTGTTATACAGCTCTTTTTGCAAGTGAGGGGATTAAAACACTTTGCAGTTTGAATGGACATATACTTAATTTGCAGCTGTTTCAAGAATCCTGCCCATCCTGATCTCATTATACTGTATAGTTTAGGCTCCCTTTGGTAAGATTTTTCTGAAGTTCAACTCATGTGTAGCCAAGCAAGAACCAGGAACACTTTTTTTCACCTTTTTTGAAACCTACTCTCTACCATTCACAAATACAATAGCTTTGGGAAGCTCGTGATGTACGCTATAGTATCTCTAAATTAATCTCTAAGATCCAAGCAAAATCTAGCTGGTAGAGAAGCCAGTGGCACTGGGAAAGTACAGAAAATGAGTGAATATTAAAAGAGTTGCTGAAGCCCCACCCCGTTCAACTGTACATTTGCCAATGCTTATGGCCCTGATCCTATTCCCCCTAAAATCTCAGAGGCTGACTCTGACTTCAGGGGAAGCAAAATGAGGGCCAATGGGCAAATCCTGATTACAGATTTTATAGGAGCACTCACAGATACATTTTCAATTAACTTGTAGGAGTTTATGGAGTTTTGTTGGGAAATGCTGTTTGCCAGGAAAGATGAAGCAAATAAATCTATCCTCCCCAACCAACACTGCAAAACACGCCCCCACACAAGTAAGATTTGGCCCTGTAGCAGTAGCCTTAATTTCCCTTCTCCTAGCTGCTCTCCTTCCCACCCACCCCCCACGGCGGTGGCCTGCACATGGTGTGCGACCGCTCAGGACTACGTCAAGTGCCTGTCAAGTGCCAGGCATCGCTCATCAGTATCGTTCCCCCGGCAGTTAGGCCACCCCAGACTCACTTGTGGTTGTCGGTGAAGAACCGAGCCTGGAGCTGGGCCATTGGGTCGGAGAGGGCGAGGCTGGGCCGGGGCTGTGTGTGTGTCTGTCTGTACCCAACTGAACACTGACGCGGGGTGCAGGACAGGAGGCTGGCCCCGGCTGCGAGCTCTCTCTCTCCAGCCCGCGGAGCAGAGAGAGCACGTGTCTCGGAGCCGCAGTCAATCAGCCCGGAGCAGGCGCACAGATCGAGCATTCCACCAGCGATTAGTAAGGGCTGCTCTTAAGGGCCGCCGTCAAGACGTGCTGGACGCTCGGACCCACCAGTTCCAGGTTGGGTGAGAATGGGAGCGACTTGCGCACGCACCCACGCTGCAGCCTGTGAGGCAAATGCAGAGACCCCAACCTTCTTTAGGGCAGGCTCCATGGAAACTACCAGTCCCAGCATGCAGCGCGGCCCAAGAGGATGAGAATGGCAGTCAACAAGGTGTCCCGAGACTACAAATCCCAGCATGCATAGCGCGGGAGGCCACAACTCCCAACATGCTACGCGCCGCCTCACAGATGGGTAGCGATTTCTTCCCTGTGCATCCTGTTTGCTTCAGTAAGGGCATTTGGGGGCCAATATTTCCGGGTTGTACGGTGGCCTGTGGGGGCCATATTGCACGGTAAGGAGTGCGTTGCTGCGCCTGCGCTGTACGGCTGTCTCCATGGTGGTGCCTGCGAGAGCCAAGACGAGGTTGAGTAGACTCGTTCTGAATTTTCTCTCCGCTTCCCTGACTCCCCTGCAGGGTTCGCGGCAGCCGAGGCGGGAGGAGCCGCGCCCAGTCTGCCCTCCTCACCGCCCCCGCGCGCGGGCGTTCTGGCTCCCAGCGCTGCCATGGGGCTGTGGGGCGGCGCCGCGGAGAAGGGGGGCAGCCCCCCGGGGCTATTGTTCTGAGGGGGCAACATGGCGGGGGCCCGGCTCTGCCCCCGGGAGGTCCTGGCAGGGCGGCCGCCCGCGCTGCCCGGCGTGAGGCGAGGTAGAGCCGCTGCCCCGCACTGGGGGATGAACAACGGAGTCCTGGCTGGACGCGGCCCGCAGCCCCTCAGCGTGGGGACGGACGGATGGGGGGGGAGAGGGGTAGTTAGGACAGGACCCGCTGCCTGTGAAGGAGGGGTGAGGGGGCGGGGCTGGGCAGGACCTGCTGTGCCCCCTGGAGTCAGGACCTGACCTACTGTACCCCTTGTGGGGGGTAAGAGATTAAGGGTTCAGGTTAAGACCCATGGGGAGATGGAAGAGTGGGTATCAAGCCTAGATCCCACTACCTTCTTCCTTTTGAAGCGGAAGGCTTTTGCTGTGTGTATCAATGAGACGTTTACAGGCCCATTCATCGTTGTTTGACATTTCCCTCTTCAAATTGTGTCGGTAGAGTTGGTGACACAGCCCCTGGGATGAGTGCATATAAACAGGTATGCACACATCCTGTACAATTCTCTAGGAAAAAGAAAAGGAGTCCTTGTGGCACCTTAGAGACTAACAAATTTATTTGAGCACGCTCGGGGGTCGAGTTATGCGACCCCCGAGCATGCTCAGATAAATTTGTTAGTCTCTAAGGTGCCACAAGGACTCCTTTTCTTTTTGCGAATACAGACTAACACGGCTGTTACTCTAAAATTCTCTGGGAGATACTGATTTACTGGTGTATACTTGGGTATGTTTCATGTACTTGTTCACTGTTGATGATATACTGATGTAATTTGGTGAACCTTAATGCTCATGTAACAACATCTAAAAATAAAGTTTTATTAAAATCAAATTTGGTGGATTTTAAAAAAGTACTGTAATTATAAGTGAATTCAGTATGTTGGAAAAAGATGTTTGGCTGGATACCTTGCATTTGTTTGATTCCTTTTGCAGCTTGTTAACGGTTAGTTATGGCCTCGCTATAAGTCAGTATCTGTGTCTGTCTATGATGTGTGATGGTTCTGTGGGTAAACTGATGGAGAAGGAAGGGTTGTCTTGGTGTTTTAAATTAGTAAGATATGCTTTCTTCAGAAATACATATTTAAAAAAGTGGCGTCTTGCCAGTGTAATTGATGTAAATGCTTTTTTATTTTTTTATATCTGTAATTTGTACACCTAGTTAATGATTGCAGAAAGACACTAAGCAATGGCTTTTCCACAATTATTTTTAAAAGCCTACTGAATAATTACTATAGTTTATAGGAATAACATGAAAGGCACTATATAAGTTGGTCAGCAGTTACTGAGTCTTTCTTAGCTCCCTTCATGACAAAGATTAAGAAAATTTTGGTTATATGTTACAAATATGTGTGTGGCCAATGTAACTCATTTTCATTGAGAAGGCCATGACACTTGAATATGCTCAATTACTTTACTGTCACTTGTGCCTATTAGTAATGATTTAGTTGATGTAGAAATGTCTCATAAAACACACTTCTTTTGCGGGGGGCATTTAATTGCATCGAGGCTGTGTCACTGTCTCAAACTGTTTCTTCTAACTCAGCACTATTTTCCTGGAAAACTGGGGACAATATTGCTATTGATTCCTTGAGTATGACATAACTAGGGCCCTACCAAATTCATGGTCCATTTTGGTCAATTTCCTGGTCATAGGATTCTAAAAATCATAAATTTCATGATTTCAGTTATTTAAATCTGAAATTTTACGGTGTTGTAACTGTAGGGCATCCTGACCCAAAAAGGAGTTGAGGGTGAGGGGTGGGGAAGTTGCGATATTGCTCCCCTTGCTTCTGCGCTGCTGAGAGCGGCGACTGCTGACCAGGAGCCCAGCTCTGAAGGTAGAGCTGCCACCAGCAGCAGTGCAGAAGTAAAGATGGCATAGTATGGTCCTGCCACCCTTATTTCTGTGCTCCTTTCCTGCAGAGCTGGGCCCTTAATCAGTAGCTGCCACTGTCTGGCCACGCAGCTCTGAAGGCAGCAGAAAGAGTGGCATGGTATGGTATTGCCACTCTTACTTCTGCGCTGCTGCTGGCAGGACACTGCCTTCAGAGCTGGGGCCTGGCCAACACTGTTGCTCTCCAGCTCCCCAGCTCTGAAGTAAGCACAGAAGTAAGGGTGGCAAAACCATGACCCCCCGCCCAATAACCTAGTGACCCCCCCCCGCAACTCCCTTTTCAGTCTGGACCCCAAATTGAGACCCCAAGTTGAGAAACACTGATCTCCCCCCGTGAAATCTGTAAAGTATAGGGTAAAAACAGGCAAAAGACCAGATTTTCATGGCTGTGAATTTGATAGGGCCCTAGACATAACTAACTTTAAAACTTTTTTTTCTATCGTAAGATGGAAATAAGATCAGCAGCAAGGTATTTACTCATCATAACTTCTCTTATTGGAAATATGAAATTGCACACATCAAATTTGATTGTACCTTTGTTTGAAACTCCAAGGTTCAGATTTCAAGAAGTCTTTGTATTTTTCCTGATCCCCTTTTGTTTTTTCAGTGTATGCTGCTTGTGCAAAGCATGCTTATCTGCCAGAGCAGTGGAATAACCTGTCCCTTTTGCAGCTTAGTTTTCTTCTCTAACTACAATACTGTAGTCACGAGAATAATTAGAAGTTCAGTTCTAAATCTTAGTGCTCCCATCTGCATTTAGGGACTACTCTTTCCCTGCCTTGAGTAGGAGGCCTCACAATAATAGATCTATGGAAAAGAGAAGCAAGGCTTGGTAAGAGAACTTAAAGTCACTTCAATCTGGAACTGCTACTCATTGGGAACCACTGCTTGTTATGTCCAGGTTACTGTTTCTATTAATTGATACCTAAAAATGTCATAAATTTCTAAAATGTTGGAAGAAAGAAAATACACAAAATAAATGATAAAATATTCTGGGTGAAAAAAATTAATAAACCCATCATAAAATTTTAGAAAATAGTGCTCTGACTAGAGTAAGAGCTTCTTATAAGTCCCTCTCTAGAGTTTGGTGTACTACGCAAAATAAGTTAGTTGGCAAGAACATATAGTACATTACTAAAAGAACCACTGCTATTGGTGACCATAGTCTCATCAGAGTAATAAAGGACTGAATGGGCATTGTCTCTGTCTACCGTAGGCTTTTTTTCTTCTTCACTAACAATTCTCATCAAAGCTACAGTGGTTCAGCTCCACTGTCAACTGGGAGAAGTAGCATACCACTGGATTCCAGGTGGTAGCTATTATTTTAAGTCTCCTGTTGTGTAACCCTTCTCAGAACAGGTATATATTTCTCTGTGTTTAACACCGTCAACACTTTGCCTGTGCTAGCACTTCCACTTGCCAGTGTTTGTGGTAAATTTTAAAATTTCTTCCTGTAGACATAGCCATTGGCTGTAAACTATCCTTTTACCCCTACAAGGTGGAGCTGAGGCCTATTGGCCGGGTAGTGCAAGTGTTTGTGCTGTACCTATCTGACACACCTGCAGAGAGCACTGCTTTCAATCCAGCGCTACAGAAACATTAAATTCGTTCATACACACACAGAAAGGCCTATAGAGGAACCAATATGAAAATAGAACTTCATCCTCAACATTTTATATAATTTATAGTATAAAATAAATGTTTCTATTAAATAATCCAGATATATTTTAAAGAATCCAGATATATTTGATAGCTTTATTTCAGATTTGTAAATGTTACATCAAAGGGAGAGGGAGTTATTTGGGTATAGAGGTTGACCCAGGCAAAATCTTCAACATATGTGTAACTGAACTGTCTGATTTGAAGAACATAATAGCAACTATTATTTTGTAATCTATTATTAAATATTTATTTACTCCTAAATGAGATATTAAAATTACATCTGTGGAAAGCCATTTTGCAGACAGTACACTTAATTTTTCTCAAAAGGCTAAATTCTATTGCTTAGACTAAAACATTATTTTACTATTTTTATTAGAGAGATTAATAATACATTTAATACTAATAAAATTCAATTTCCAATCAATTTTTTTCTGTTGCTCTTGACATCCTTAGTATCTGTGACTGAAACTTTCCATATTTGGTCTCAGCCCCAAAAGTGAAATTATTTTGAAAATTTAAGCTAACAGTGTTCAAATATTTTGGCAGTATGGGAGTGTTGAGGGGGAAAAAATGCTTTCCCTCTGCGATCTGGTTTAAACATGGCAGATATTCGAAATTAGGAACCTGTCATTTTGTATAGTAATTGAAAATTTTAAAAAATCCAAGTTTGATGAAAATAGGTTAAATAAATTTAAAGATATGTTTGAAGTTGGAATGTTGTTCAAATGCATTGGAAGAATTTATCTCTGAAGGGTGATTCACTTAGCTCCAAACGCCAGATAGGTCAGGCTTTCCTTTTCCATCCACCTCGTGTGGCTTAGCCAGACGAACTTGTGTGCT